TGTACCCAGACTAACACAATACTTGTGCCCATTCTAAAGAGGGGTGACCCAACAGAATGCTCTAACTATAGGATGATATCCTTGATATTGCAAGCAACTAAAGTTTCCTTCAGATCATCCAACAATGGTGGTGGGAACTGCCAGAAGTTCAGAGCAGATTCAAAAGAGGAAGTGGAACAAGGGATATCATTGCTGATGTCAGATGGATCTTGACTCAAAGCCGAGAGTACCAGAAAGATGGTCTACTTGTGTTTCATTGACTATGCAAAGACATTCAACCATGTGGACCATATCCATAAACTGGATAATCCTCAGAAGAATGGGAATTCCATAACACTATTTTGTGCTCATTGGGAGCTTTGTACATGGATCAAAAAACATTTATGTGAATAGAACAAGGGAATACTGCATGGTTTAAAATCAGGAAAAGTATCCACTCACTATACTCAAGGAAGTAGCAGTCAAGAGATCAAAAGATGTATTGCATAGGTAAATCTTCTGCACAAGACCTCTTGAGAGTATTGAAGAACCAAAGATGTTACTTTGAGGACCAAGATGACCTAACCATGGTATTCTCCATTGCATCACATGCATGTGAAAGTTGGACATTGAATAAGGAACACAGTAGAAGAATCAATGCATTTGAATCATGCTGAAGAATATTAAAAGGACCATGGACTGCTAAAAGGATTTGTATTGGGGAGAAGTAAGGCTCCTTTGAGGCAACGATGGAAACTTCACCTTACATTCTTTAACCATATTGTCAGGAGAGACCAGTCCCTGGAGAAGGACATCATGTTTGGTAAAGTGGTGGGGCAGTGAAAACCTAACAACAACAATACATCTGTGTTAATCCACTTTCCAATGTAATCTGTCCGATAGCAAAGTTATTCTCATCCCTAGTCAGTGGTTAGAGGGTATTCTCGAGGTTTAATCCTTGTGTAGGGACCCTGCACAAGTACATTTTGGGCTTTCAAATTGTCATCTACAAACTAGGTGCACAGAAATTTAAGCTGTAATATAGTTTATCCCTTGGATTTTATTATTTACCATCCTTGAAAAATACAGACTGGTGTATTTCTTCTGTGTGGATTTAGCAAACACTCAGATGGCTGCTAGCTTTAAGACAAGACTTTAAGACTACTTTTTTTTTAACAGTTTCATTTGGCATAGGAGGGGGTACCTGTTTCCCCCCTCCGTGCCCCCTCCCCCCCAATGGGAAAAGCTCTGCTGGGCAGATTTTCATAGTATGTATTTTTCCCAGTAGGTGAGCTATTGAGCAACTCGCTCTGAGTTGGTGCACCCAGTGGCATCACCTGGGAAGGTTCTCTCTGGTCACAATAAGTTTTTTTTGTGAAAGCAGTTTCGTTTGACCTTGTTTTTTGTGATGGCCAATTTAAGAGAACAGTATGGGGCTGTGAAATTTTGTTTCCTGCTTGGGAAAAGTACAGCACAGTGTTGTGATGTTGAACGCAGCTTACAAGGACAGTGCTATGGGAAAAACTCGAGGGTATGAGTGGTTTCTCATTTCAAAAAACGGTGAAATGCAAATGGTGACAGACCTTGTTCTGGATTGTCCACTTCCCAAAAAGAGGAAAATGTTCACAAAATCCATGCATTTGTCCTCAAAGACTAAAGAGATGAGTAAATTGTCTGGACTATCTTAGAGCTCAGGAGTTTGGCAAATTTTAATGGAAGATTTGGGAATGAGAAGGGTTACTGGGAAATTTGTGTCTCGTGTTCTGACTGACCAAGAAAAAACAGCATGGAGTGGAAACATGCCGAGCTTTTAAAGAACAGCTCAGAATAGACTCAAACTCCACCCTACCCCCCCAAGGTCATACTGGTGAGGAGACATGGTACTATTCTTATGACCTTGAAAGCAAACATCAATCAAACCAGTGGAATACCATTGTCACCTTGCCCCCCAAAAAGCTCCAAGTAAAATTAAAGATCAAGACAATGCTCATTTGTTTTTTTAATGTGAGGGGGATAGTGCATCTGGCGTTCATTCCACCAGGTCAAACTCTTTTTTTTTTAAATCATTTTATTAGGGGCTCATACAACTC